CTCCTGACATGAAAAGCGCTATATCAAATGCAAGGATTATTATTATTATTATTATTATTATTGGAGGGAAAAGAAAAAATTCTGTTGTTGTAATTTGCAAAAGGCAAGATGACCTGACAGATGGTAAGCGGAAGAGTAATAAAATGAGAAACTAAGTTGTTGGTATAAAGAGGATGAAGAAACAACAACAACAAGATTCCATTTATAAAGCGCCTTTCACGTCAGGAGGACGTCCCAAGGCGCTGCACAGTTGGGTCATGACCCGAGCAGGGGGGAAATGGTCAGGGTGAGGGGAGGGAAGGGAGGGAGCGAGGAGGGGGAAATGGTCAGGGTGAGGGGAGGGAGGGAGCGAGAGGGGAAGAGAGTCGAGAGGGGAGCTGAAGGCACGGTCAAAGAGAAAGGTTTTGAGACCGGCCTTGAAGGAGGAAAGGGAGGAAGCAAGGCGAAGGCACTGGGGGATAGAGTTCCAGAGCCTCGGGGCTGAGAGGCTGAAGGCCCGACCACCGATGGTAAGGCGGTTGGGGCGGGGGACGTGGAGCAGACCGGACGGAGCAGGAGGAACGGAGGGTACGGACAGGTAGGTAGGGGGATAGTAGGTTGGAGAGGTAGGAGGGAGCAAGGCCGTGAATGGCCTTGTAGGTGAAAGGAGAAAGGAATGAAGATGGAGGCACAGCAAATTGGGAAGACATAAGCAAGGCTCTTTTTTTAAAATCACAAATTATCCTGGCAAAATTAAACAAGTCTATATTTGAAGGTGGTGCAAAGAGTCGAGTCGAGTCTTTATCAAGAGAATGAGGAAGAGGTAATTCAGAGAAGAAATCAAGACTTTATAGTTAGAAGAGTTCAGGAAAGGGAAATTTATACAACGTATTTTTGCATTCAAGCAACTGTGTGGGGGAGGAGAGAAACTACAACTGTTAAACCTCCTCCGCCAACATTTTTGACAAATTAATCTCAACTTCTCAAGTCTAATGTTGTGTAGGAGAACCATACCTCACCCTTTTATTGTTTTGAGAAAAAAAAGCATCTTAAGTCTTCCCCACTACTGCTTAAAACATTTCTCATTGAACAACTATTCAAAGATAAGTATACTGATCAAGCGTAACACAAAACACTTGGCCTTTTGGACACAGCAAAGTGAACCACAAAATGAAGCATTACAAACTAGAATTGGTATGAAACATGCAATATTTGCAAATCGCAGTGCACTAATAAAAAATTCCAGTTTGCGAATTAAGTTGTGGCGTTCGCTATGAAAGTCCATTAAAAATACAATCTTGAACCTCAGAAGTGGCTGTTTTGCAGACAGTGTTTTACAATTCTGACTTTTATAAGGCAAGAAATGGCCGCAACTAAATAGACAACACCAATTGTGACTTATGGTTTACAGCTGAGAAAAAGTTCAACAAATTGTAGGAACGACAAACACCAGCTGGAAACGGGTGTTTGTTATTCCAACAACGTTGTCATTCCAATCTGTGGCACTGAGATTTCAAATCAAATTCCATAGTTTATCCTACATAGTTGGGCTGGCTGTAATTTGGAATTGGCGGTGGTTTTTAGATCACGGAATCTGTGTAAGACTGAATTCCAGATCCAGGGGTTGAATGCATTTGGTTAGCTTGTGCAGTTTCATGGACTTTGGTGTGTAGATTGTATAGCTCACAGTAGGCACTTACGAGTGGCAAATTTTCTTAAAATAATAATCCTTGCATTTGATGTAGCGCCTTATCACATTTTCGAGACGTCTCAAAGCGCTTCACAGAATATACTGTAAAGTGAATTGACTGTATATGTTGTAGCCGAAACACGGCAGCCAATTGCGCACAGCAGTGTCCCATAAACAGTTGTGGATTCACTATTAATATCCACATTTTAAAATACGATACACATTTCAATTATCTACATTAAAATATGTGCCATTTAGGTTGTGCTACACACAACTGGAATGGTTCAGGAATTGTCCATGCTTGCTTGAAATTGGTTCAGACGACACAGGTTTTTAAAAATTACGTTCAACAAGACAGGGTTTTAAAACTGGCATTTTAGGTTTCTGGCAAAACAACAACTAGCATTTATAAAGCAATTGTGACATGATAAATGTCTTGAAACTCTTAATGAATGTGATAGTGAGCACAGATCAAGGAGAAAATAGAATTGAGGATGCCAACCAAAAGCGAGATAAGTTTTAAGAGGCTGCAAAGGCAGAGAGAGAATAACAGAGATTTAGGAAAAATGTTCCAGAGGGGTGTTGTGGCTGTTGTGGGTGTTCCACTTTCACTAATCAGACAGTGGGACAAAGGATGACCGTATCGGAAGAGCAGAGAGTGCAGAAAGAAAAAGGCTGAAGGGCAGAATATGTAGCATAACATTGTTCAAATCGGGTATTAGAACTCAGGAGGATGGGAGTAATGGTTTGGGAAAGAATATGGGTTGTAGAGTTTTGTATGAGTTTGAGCTTATGGAATGTGCAGCTAGGACGGCTTAGGAAGGTTTGGGAGAATTATTGCGGCAGCAGATAAAGGAGTCATAGATGTCATCTGCGTGGAGAGAGCTCCACACAATGCATTAATAGCTAAAATTAAAGCACATGATTCGTGGCAACGCAGTGGCATGATTAGAAGAAAGCAAACAAGAGATTTGAAATTAAAGGAACATTCTGATCGGTAGGCAGCGACAGGATGTGTCCCACAAAGTTCATAGTTGGGGCCCTCGCTTTTCACAGCTCACTCTAAAAAGCTTCGTCCATTTTGTATTCAAATAATGTAAAATAACTAATATGATCTTAAAAAGAACATTAAATGCAAAATTAACATTATGAAGGTTGATCAATATACCATATATCTTCAACTTTCATTCAGTGCTCATACAGCAAAATTATTTGTATTTCTACTACTCTCAAGTCCTCTATCAGAACACTGACATTTTAAGTGATACAAGCAATTACTCCAAAGTAAACCAGCATCAACAAACCTAACAAGCTGTTCAGCCATACATCGGAACTTATTTGTTTGATCTTCTCCCAGGTTTGAACCCAATATAAAATCCCCTTGATGTGGTTTTGCATAAGCAAAAACATTTGCTGCAGCTGATGAAAAGGAAAATTAATTGCAGGTGAAACTTCCTTGATTTGAAATAAATTGCCTGCTTTATATTTAATCAATGTAAAAAGGACAAAAAACAGAGGAATTCTCATATGTTTGAATTAAAAAGTCAGTTGCTCATTTGTATGGCAGCTACAAATAAATCTAATTCAAAACCGCACTTGTTTTTTATTTCTGCTCAGCATATGCACTGGAAATGTAATTGAGCACATCCCAGAAGTAGGTTCAATACAGACATGCACATCAGCATCGCATGCTGATCTACCTATACAAATTTGACATTTGATTACCTTTGGCTACCTTTTGTTAACTAAACTACAATCCATTATTTCAATTAGTTTTCAATCCAACAAGTTCCCTTTTGCACAATGTTTCCATACTTGGTTGTGCCGTGGCTGTAGGAAAGCCACATCACCAGCTAAACACTCGCCCTTGTAGAACTAAGACCACACCTTATTCTAAATTATTGAATTGCAAGATTTGAGCTCCACTTTGATAAGCAGGAGATCATGCAAATGCTATTAGTCGTGCTCCATATCTCACAATGAAAATTTTGGAGTTACAGTATTATTAACTTTATTGATATCAATTTCAATTTATGGTTCGTGCTAATGTTGGCGCAAAACAGCATCCTTCAGATAAGATGTTAAAATGAGGTCTTGTCTGTTCAGGTGGATATTAAAGATCCCACAGCATCATTCAAAAAGAGAACTGAATTTCTCCTGGTGCAGTCAGTGATCATCAATAAAGTTGGTCATTCAATTTGTGGAACATTGCTATATGCAAATTATTCCTGCTTTCATCTTCAAAATACAGTCACAACACACTACAATAAATCCTGTGAAGCGCTTTGAAACATCTTGGCGATGTGGTAAGACGCTATTTCAAATGTAAGGATTATCATTAATACACATTTACATCCGAATATTTCAATCGATTGAAGAGGTCACAATCTCATTATTGTACAGCAGGTCACGAATGGATGAGCATTTGAGAAACAGCGTCCAAACACAAAGTAAGAGTCAAGATTAAAGAAACTGGCCTAGAAAAAGTATGCATTTTCATAAGACTGAACGGGGTCTGGTCCAGATTAATAAAATGTGAATATTTGCAGACAATAATATAAAACCGCATCATTGTGGTTAATGACAAGTGAGAATATTTTACAGGTGGATCATCAATTCACCACAATATTCTTGGAACACAATTCTCACAATACTATTGGAACATAAATATAATTCTCAGTCCACACACATACACACAATATTGATCATGCCTAATAGGAAGATCAAGGCCATAGCAAACCGATGACACAATAACTTTAGAGTTATGCGATCAATCTTCTGACCAGGAATTTGGTGGAAGGTGGGTGTATGAGGGCTAGAGAAGGCGCTAACCAAGAAAGCAGGCTTTTATATTACACAAGAGGGAGGTGGGCAAAGGAAATAATAATCCTTGCATTTGATATAGAGCCTTATCACGTCTTTGAGACGAAATGAAGAGAATGAAGATTTTTTTTTAATTACTTACACCTTTCTCAGGTTTATGACAGCAAAGCACAACACAAAATGGGCAAAATAAAAGTTACAAACAAATCACTTGTAACATGCTCATTGCAACTTGCCAAATTATTACATAACTCATGTTACTTGTTAACTTTTTATAAGCAATTATTTTGTGCCAGATTTTCTGTTTGTTGCTAAAGATGCAGTCAATAAAATCACTTAAAACTTCTCTGTTTTGATTGCGTACTTCTCAGCAGTTTATATTATGTCCCTAACCACCATTACATTTTTTTTCAATTGGCACACTATATTCTATATCTCATGCTCTCAAACATAGTCTCTAATAGAATTCATAAAATGAGATTTATATTTCAATATTTTCCTTACTCACTTTGACGAAGTTATCAGGAAAAAATCCACTCTTCCCATTTAACTCTCCTTCACACCACCCATCCTCTTCCAGTTTTGCCACGTTCCTGATGATATCACCAACTCTTATTGTCAGCTCATCCTGTTGTACTGCTTCGTAATCATATTCCACAATAACTTCCACTGAAAACAAACACACAGTCAAACAAGAGTTAACATTTAGTAAGTCAATCAGAAAGAAAAGCAATCCAAGAACTTCAGTTTTTGTTCAAAGAACTTGTCTGGTTACATTAGAAAATTATTTAATTATAAAGCCGTTTGCCTTTAAATAACAATTTGTGGAGTTTTGAGGATTCCTAAGCATTTATCACCTCCTTTGTCTCAGCTAAGATACTTCAGTGTTATCACCAGCAAGAAGGAGTCAATTGTGTACAAGTGTCATTCTGTCGACTTTAAAAGACTGAAGCTTTGGACCAGCATAGAAGCCAATCTAGTGTCACTCAGTCCAGGAGAAACAATGCTGGGATCTGTATACAGCAGTGCCAGACAAATTACCGCGCTGGGGCATCAAGAGCCCCCACTCCCCCCCGAACATTCACATTAGTCTGGGTAAATACGTGTTTAATTGGTAGTGCGTTTCCAGGTTTTTCTTGATTGATTATTTCTTGATTTATTGCATAAATCAATCAAGAAAATGCATTTTGTGGGCCAACCTAAAAAGATTGGCCACCACTGCTACACAAGCTTCCCTCACATTCCCCATTTTGGTTGCCACGACCACAGCCTTCTCTTCCACAACTGCTGAGATCCTCATCCACACACACCTTCATCACCTCGGGGTATGATTATTTGAAAATTCTGCTCATCAGAGCTTTTTCTTCCTTGCAACATTTAGAACTCTGTAGCCTGAGTCCTCTCCCACTACAGGCTCCATCAAACCATCACCCCATCCTTGCTCAGCTCCACTGGCTCCACAATCCCAACAGATCAAATTCAAGATCTTCATCCTCAATTCCAAATCCCTCCACAGCCTCACCCCTCCCTACCTCTATGACCTCCTGAGATCCTACCATTGGGACTGCTCTGCTAACATCAGCTTCAATGTCCCTCAACTGATCCATCCCACCATCAGTGAGTGAGTTTCCTTGCTTCAATCCCTCCGTCTTGCTCCCTCTTTGCCCATCTCCAGATCATGCCTAAAGGCTTTCTGTTATGACCGTACCTAAAGTCTTTCAACAACAACAATTTGCATTTATATAGTGCCCTTCACTTGGGGTAGCATCCCGGAGCGCTTGACAATGATGGAGTCTGATACCAAGCCAGCGGGAGAGGGAAGGGGAAGGTGACCATAAGCATGATCGAAAAGAAAGGTCTTTAGGCAGGATATGAAAGTGGGGAGTGAGGGGGCAAAGTGGAGGGATTTAGGAAGACAGTTCCAGAGTTTAGGGGTGTAGTAGCTGAATGCACTGCCACCGAAGGTGGAGCAGAGGCGATGAGGGACAAACAGGAGGCCGGAGCCAGCTGAGCGGAGACAGCGGGTGGTGGAGTGGGTGATAAGCAGATCGGATAGGTAGGGAGGTGCGAGGGCAAGAAGGGATTTGAAAATGAGTGAGAGGATCTTAAAATCGATCCATTAAATAACTGGGAGCCAGCGGAGTTCGCCAAGGACTGGTGTGATGGGGGTACGGAGCTTTGTGAGTATCCAGGCAGCAGAGTTTTAAATTAATTGAATTTTGTGTACTGTGGAGCTGAAGGTGGGCAATGTGACGGAGGTGGAAAAAAGTGTTCCTGTTCAGGGAATGGATGTGGGGTAGAAAGGAAAGCTGGGGATCGAATCTGATGCCTAAGTTGTGCACAGGTTCGGTGAATCTGAAGGAGAGCCCAGGGAGGTTGAGGAATTGTGACCTGCAGGAGAGAAGACGTTGATGGGAGCCAAAGAGTATGGCTTCCGTCTTGCTGACATTCAGCTGCAGGAAATTTGTGCTCATCCAGGCCTTGATGTCCGTCAAACAGGCTGACAGGACATCAGCGGACTGGGAGTCGCAATCGTAGGAGGAGAAGTAGATTTGGGTGTCATCCGCATACATGTGCATCATCTCATGACTTGTTAGGGTTCATGTGAATCTATGCCACACTATCTCCATAGCTCTGATAGCTTGGATATGCTTGACAATGTTAAGTTTTCTTTCATTCCCCCATTTTCAACCAAATTTCTACAATCATCTCCTGCAAACAGCCGTCAGTCGTGGGTTCATATACTACACTGGAACTTTGAACTTGTTTAGTGCAGGATGACACTCCTGTAAAGTGCTGGGAGTTTTCCATTGTTTCAGGTGCCATCTTCACATGAAAGGTTAAAATGCGGTTCCCTCTTCCCTTTGGCTGGATGTTAAAGATCCCATGTTAGGTGGACATTAAAAGAGAAGTGTATTTCTCCCAGTGCCTTTGCCAACAAGCCCACTACAATTTTCTAGATAAAAATTATCCTCATGAATGCTCCACAGAAAACCCACAGGAGTTTCTTTAAGTAGCACTTAAAAATCCCACACAATTACTGTATTCTGTAGTAACAGTAAAGTGATTCACAAAATGATGCATTTGGTATATTGGAATCAATGTCTAAAATCAAAGAAAGTTTCCCTGATCACTTAACGGGTAAATTGTCTCATCATAAGAACATAAGAAATGCTAGACAAAAATAGATCAAGGTCCATCTAGTTCCCCTTCCAACTTCCTGGCGGTCGCATGCACATATCATGCGACCACAAGGCAGCAATCATGTCTCCTCTCAATCTTCTCTTTTCCAGCGTGAACATGCCCAATTTACTTAGGGAACAAATCACTCCTCGATGATACCCAACACAAACAAATCAAAACGACCATGTCAGGGTGACCATGTGAGGAAACATGGATATCGACACTGACCCACACACTACCACTCCCAGCACAGCACATTAGAGATGAAGAAAGAGATTTCCTTCAACTTTTTGGGTAAATATTGTATTAACCTAACACTATTTAAAACTATGTTCAGGTAGCTGATCTCATCAAGGTTGGCAGTGGGGGAGGGAGCACTTTATCTGGCTGAGAAGAAAAAAAAGAAAACAAAATCGGCTAAGGTTCCCGCTTCTAAAAACTTCCTGTCATCATTACTCCAAACTGCACATGATAGGTAAGGACTGGATTAAGTTTTTATTCTCCCCATATACAAAGACGCTCACTGTCAACACCAGAGGAATCTTTGGCACACGTACCCAAAGTAGCATTCAAGGCTAATTCTAGTGGTACTGTACATGGGAAACCATCCACAGAACTCAGCCCCCAGCCATTCAACCGAAAGCATGCTTAGCCAGCTCTCACTAACGGTCAATAATTCACAGATTCCTTTCAACAGATTTATTTAAGCGTTATATTTTTTTCACTGGGAGCAAAAAGTAAAGCATCCATGAATTTCATCCTTGTCCATGAAAATTCTTAAAAGATGTTTTTACAATTGGTAGTATTTTAAAGATGGTAGTATTTTAAATCTAAACATTGGCTTCACCCCAATAACCCTGATGACTTTTTTTNAAAAACAAGCCAGTACTACCAAGGCTCCACCGGATCACACATCAGCCATATAAAAGTTAGAGCCTCCTTTACTCATCTTCCAGAGGACTCTTCATGCTGCAGCCTATTTCAAAATAACTTCCACCTTTCAAGTAGGATAATGTCTCAAGCACTTTATAGAGATGGAGGGGGGGACTATATTTTGTGTAAATAAATGTTAGTTTTTCTAAAAATGGGATTTGGAATGATGGTGCTCAGTGAATTTTTTGTCTAAAATATACTGTATATTTTTATTACTTTAAAAAAAATTTATGTATATATTTTCCTGCCCAGAAATATATATAATAATAATCCTTGAATTTGATATAGAACATTATCATGTCTTCGAGACATCTCAAAGAGCTTCACAGAAAATACTGCAAACTGAATTGACTGTATATTTTGTGGGTGAAACGCAGCAGCCAATTGCGCACAACAGTGTCCCACAAACAATCATGGATTAAAGTGACCAATTTTTTAAAAAATTTTTGAAGGAATTATTCCCCCCGGAAAAGCGATCTGCCAATCAACTAACAACCGGGTTCCATATATGCATCGGGAAGGAGGCTGCCGGCTTCTCAGACCTATTCACCAGACCAGTAATTTTTCAATCTTCACGAACGTGTATCTGCTGTGATGTTGTACCATATCTATCTGTTTGAGTATTTATTTAACTCAACATGAGGTTAATCATACCTCTTGTTGACACAAATGAATATTCATGAACTAGGGCACTAAAAGGAACTTGGCGAGTTCTTGGAAGTGAAAAGGATTCAGTGTTATTAGAAGATGAGACAGATGTGTCGAAAGAATCTTTAGGGTAACTGAGATGGATCAATTATCTACTGTTACCACCTAATGTTTCTAACGTAGTTTAAAGGCTTTATTTAAAAAAGAATGACTTCTTGAAAATTTCTAAAACAGTTTTTATCATTCAAGTAACAGTGTAACAGAATTCAACGCATTTAAAACGTATTAGAGACTAATTTATACCCCAAACGAAAAGAAATTTCTAGCATGCTATAATTATATTCTGTAAATGAGGGAAACACTAATTTATTATCTGAAAAGCCTAATTACTTTAATATTTAAATAGGAAAATGCACAGGAAGATGACTGAAAGAAAATAAGTCAGCTGTAGAAGCAACAGTTAAGTTTTTTACCCTTACATAGCAATGAATTTCTATTCAACATTTACCCCTTTAATCTTAACATATTGGGTGTTCATAAGCGTTATTGATCATTGATCAACTCTGTCTGTCCAGCGCCTTGAGGTGTTCTCCCGATGTGAAAGACGCTATACAATGTCATTTTATTATTGTTGTTGTTGATGAATCGGCAGTTGATTATTTAAAGACAAATGTTGATACACTGTACTGTAATTATAAATGTAATTTTGTTGTTGTTGTACTGTGTTCTGCTACTTACATAAAAAGACTCACTGCTCAAAAACACACACAGGGAAACAATCTGCATAGTTCCGAGTAATTGATTTGCTAGATTTCCACACACAGCAAGATCATAATATCACCTTGGCAGAAGCACAAACAAGAGACCAGACATTTTCCACAAGAGAAAGAGGATAAAATTGAAGC